TTGCTAGTCCGGTTGCCCCACCAGATTCGTGCAATGTTGTGTGGACAGCGTTGTTCAAACACCGACAGTCTACTTTTATCTTGCTTCCTTATTCGCCAAGTTTCTGCGCCGTATAGCAAAACTGGCTGAACTGCTGCAGCATACACTCAACCCTCCACAGGCAGCCAGATGGCACGACGGCGCCTCAAATGTCTCAAGTTGGCGGATGCCAACCGAGCCTTCTATATGCAAGCTAACACTTCATCCGTGATGCGTTCACCGGTGACATATAGCTGCTCAAGTGACAAAACTTATCCACTTGCTCTATCACTTCCCCAGGTAGGGTGAGGCTGGGTGTTGGATCACGCAAGTCTTGTCGTAACATTTTACACTTTGAAGGTGCAAAGCGCATACCAAACATGGATACGCTGGAGCTCAAGCTATCCAGAAAAGCTTGCAACTTACCTGGATCTTCACTTAGTAGCACAATTTCGTCTGCATACTCCATATAAGACAGTCTACCATACGGGAGTGAATCGATATCGCTATCCTCGCACGAGGATCGCACTGTTTTCACAATGAAACCTATAACAAAGTTAAATAGAAAGGGAGACAGAAGGCAATCCTGACGAACACCACTCTCCTTGATGAACTCGGGCAAAAAGTGCCGTGTGCTCAGACACGGCTTCGGTAATTAGTATAAAGGGATTGTAATATTGAAATAAACTTCTCGGGCACCTCATTTAGAGAAAGGCAGCGCCAGAGTTTAGAGCGGTTGACTGAGTTGAAAGCCGCTCTCAAATCGAGGAATACAGAGATGGAAGGTCTACGAAATGGATGTCGATGCTTCGGAATTCAAAGAAAAGTGAAGATGTAGTCAAAACAACCTCGACCAGGCTTAAACCTAGCCTGGTTCTCACGTGTGCACCCTGCACATGCGGCAGACAATCGACGGAGTATGATACCAGTGAGAATTTTGTAGGCAATGTTGATTAAACCAATCCCTATGTGGTTTTCACAAGGGGATCTATCACCTTTCTTGTGAATCGACAAGATGACCGATTCACACCATTCAGTTGGAACCTGTTCCCTTTCTCATGCTGAACCCAGGAGTTTCGTTAACTCAAAGACTAACGCTGAGCCCTCTCCTTGAACGACGATAGGAACAGCCTATCTGGATCGGAGGCTTTATGCTTTTGAGACAATGTAGTACCCGGGAAACTTTCATTTCAGAAGGAGGACTGGCATCAACTGGGGGTATTTTCCCAGCCGAGGGGGAAGGTGACAGGTCGGATATCAATGGGGGCCAGTTGAACTGAGCTTCGAAATATCTAGCCCATCGATCAAGACAGAGCTTCTGATCGTAAATCAGTGTGCTATCGGATTCCTTAACTAGCTCATTTACGCCTATTTTCTAGGGGCCTGTAGTCCTAATTAGATGGAAAAGATTGAGACTATTACCAGTAGCCGCAGCTTTCTCCATGTCAGGAGGAAGGGTTCTGCGGGCGTCCAGCAGAGCAGCCGAGGTTGAAGAGAACCGTCGTTTGTGTGTTTAGCTTGCGCTAGGGTCCGACGTTATTTTCATCAATATTTTTATAACTTCCTTGACTTGCTTCCAGTGATCCAAGTGTTTCGGAGACACTGTATACAACTAAATTGAAAGTCTCAAGGGTTCTAGCCAAGACAGCTTGTCGACCAGTCCGATCGTGTGTGGACATTGAACGCGGCTAAGTAAAAAGTGAATTCTGGCTTTGAAAATACTATAACTTCTGATTGTCTAGCCTTGCTGGTAAAACGCTAAGTGATATTCTATGGATCTCATAAACAGTAGACATCTAAGATTATTTGGGATTGAGAAGAAGAAGTAAACAGATGGGAAAGAGGGGTTTCCCAATGGGTGCCTAAGATTTAAGTATAGTACATACTTCGCAGCAGCCCACACCAACAAAGGGGTTTTTCTCTGGGAACCCCAACCGGAGACCTGACTCAATAGTCTGACCCGCAAGGCAGCGAGAATTTGTGGGTTTTTCTTGAGAAACCCTAGCTGGAGCCTTCGACTCAAGAGTCTGACCCACAAGGCAGTGGGGCGTATATCCAACGCGGGAGCGTGAACGAAGCATCCATATGAGAGCTTCTGGAAACCTGTCACGCAAGGCCTTTGAATTTCGGTTAAGTTATTATTTCGCTGGTGCGTTGATTATTAGTCCGCTTTTCGGGATCAGCCCTTAGCATCAAGCACCCAATGAGACAAGCGGAACGTGGACGGGACAGCACCTTATTGGCTGGGGGCTACCCAGCTTGGGCGGCCGGTAGCTGTCCAAGGAAGAGCGAAGACTTCTCCCACCATCGAGAGGAAGCCCCAGGTACCCCGCTCCTGTCTATTTGGTGGAGCGTTTTGATCGGTAAACTGCCCCCCACCGTGTTTATTTGCTGGAGTGGCCTCTCCAGGGGCGGTTGTGGATAGAAGAAGGAAGCTAGGAGGTACCCAAGCAGTTGAGTTTGTGAGAATAATCTTTTTTGGCTTCTACCCACTGACCCTTCAGGCATGATTGGATCTACGGCTGTGAAAAGCCATCCTGTGTAGCTCGCAGGGTCATGAAGGCATGCAAGATGGCAGACTGTCTGATATGGTGTATGCAGATAATATTATACTGTTAAATAAACAGCCAGATGAGTTGCTGCTACAGGAAAAATTTAGCCACTTTGGTTGCTATATCTGACAATGCATGTGCATCGCGGATGAAGTATCAAAGGCTTGATTGGCATTTATCAATCTGAGACATTTGCCGGTTTTCGAACACCGCTGTCTACGTCACATTGCACGAGTCTCGTGGGGTAACCGGATGAGCAATGCTCTGGTTAGGCGTAGAGTTTTAGGCAGTCGCGGTCGTCCACTGGAGCAAGTGATCGGCCTCCATAGATTGCGTTGGTTGGGGCATTTGCCACTTAGTGTCACAAACAGTGGTACTTGTGCACCCACTCATTATCTCTGCAACCTTAGTCTATATGAACTCACTATCATCCCTTTGACTCTGTGAGCAAAATTTCATTTTTTTTCTGCTCTTCTATCCAAATTTGTATTCATGAGACAGCAATCAAAAGTGGTGCATGTTGGTGTATGTTTATTGGTTGTATAAACTGAACTGAACTGAACCACGATTCTATCACAAGAAGGCACAGTATTATATCTAAGATTTCTATCAGAAAACGTTTATAGATAGCTTACCATAAATTTAGAAGCTTATCGCAAAAAAGTGGCTGAAATCAAGCAATGCGCTGGAAGAAAGCGACTATCAGGTTTAAGATAGCGGTACACGCAAATGATCAAAATCAGTGTGCAGGAGCGAAAAAGATGTTATTAAGCTTTGGCTAAATGAAAAATAAAATAACATTACTTTCAGCACGGATATTACAACACAAATAGTAATATTAATAATAATATGATTTTTTGTAATAATACATTACTTATCTAACAGAGTTATGGACAATATCCATGGAAACTATGCTGTGATCGATTACTAGCGCATTGTCCATATGAGGAGATGGTGAGAAGACTCCAACACAACGGAATGATCAGTACACTTGTATCCATAACTCATGACAATCCACCATCACTGAATGGTTCTCTAGAAGACGGTTGACAGCGTACCCTGCGTTTTTAGTTGGAAGTACACATTGCTTCCAAACCGTCTAATGAGTGGTGTTTTGATGACCGAATCAATAAGGTGATCATATCATTCATTCGAAATTTAATCCCGAAATGACTCAGCCAACAAAGATAAGGATATTACTTTTTGGAAAATAGCATGCTCCGTGTTTACTGATTTCATTTATTTTACTACTGCTCTATTCCTGTGTTCATTGGCCAGCTAAATAGACGGTCCTTAGATGGGAACCAGAAATAGTGAAAGGAACTGTAAGGTTGATGGTAATGTGAATCGTTCCAAAAGGAACTGATTTGGAAAGACATAATAAACCAACTAATGACTATTGTGAAAATCCGTGTTTTCTTAAAATTTTGAATTGCATCAGAGATAAGATAAAAATATGAGATGAGAACAGGAACGTTTTGCGTCTGATGTGTCAGTAATGTTTCACATTGTGCAAGATAAGATCCTTTCTCCAACTTAATTCTAACCAAATTTCTGGCTTAATCATTCATCATATTAATCTACTGAAACGGAAAGTGAATAAACCAATGAAATTAGTTTGTAGCACCGCCTTCACTTTTTCCACAGGTCATATCCTATCACGTGAAAGTTTCTATGAGGCGTTTCCACATTTGATTTTACTAAGCTGACACACCTGTAACTTAAAATACACCTAATCTGATGACCTGAAATCGTTCATTCGAAGCAGATGCCAGCTTCTTTTAAGCAGAATAAAATATATTGGAGGAATGTTCGGTTTTGATACATCAAAGGTTTGCTGATGAAATACTGAAAGGGTGCTGATGATCAATGACCTGTCCCGGAAACCACTCTATAGAAGAATAGACTGTTTATTCGATTTTTGCGTTAAACCCAAAATTAAACCTTCCCTTAGAATATTGATTCTGTCTTATGTGGGATTGTTTTATGTAATCTCTCTAGTGTGCTAAACTGTATTCTGGCATATCTCTGTTACCAATATACCTTTGTGTGATTGTTGTTTCATGGGATATGTAGGCATTCGCACTCATTACTCCGTTAAATTGATACTGGTGTGAGTAGTAAAGGGAACGACCTCATTGCAGTTATTTGATGTGCAGGCATCAATGAGCTTAGGAATATCGTTGAAAACCGATTTATAATTCAAAGACAAAAGTAGTTAAGAATGGAATGTAACTCATCAAAAGATTATGCAATGCAAATTTTATACGCAACTTGGGGGTTGGATATGATACAAACAATCCTCGAATAATCATTCCCATGATTCCGTATCAGTAATTGTGGGTTAGATGCGTCTAACCTCAGTCAACTATACGCTAGGGCCGACTTTCGGTGTTTTTATAATGAGTAGTATATGAATGAGTGGACAAAATTTCCAAGAAGCACATGACCGGTTTCACGGTTCCTGTCCCTCTTCACGTATACTTATCCGGTGGTCTTATTTCTGATAATTCTTCTAATTGATCTCCCATTGTGAATTATGCAATACAAATCTCATTTCCATGAAGATGGTGGGCTGCAGCCATTAGGGAACGAAGTTGGACAGCGATGGTGGGATTCGAACACGGCCTCCTGGAGGTAAGTTAGTGACTTTACCAGCTTGACCGCGAGAGCCGCAGGTGTCCCGGCTCCCAATCAAAACAGTGACAGCGCAAACCCCTGCAGACAACAAACCTACATGATGGCGACGAGTCTCAACAGGTGAAGAATAATAAAAATAAACAGTTAACCACAAATATGAATGGGCGGTGGTGGTGAGGCGATTTAGGTCATCGTAACATTAATTCAAATGTCAAGAGTACCAATCCTACCATCTTCGCTACAATACTCGATCTGTATTAGTTCCCGGGCATTATTTAATAGACAACACCATCTTTTCTACATTTTTGTGTACTCAATAACACAGGAGTATAAAATTATTATTAACCTATTATTGGGACAATCCCTTTTAACCTAAAACCTAATTAGTGGTAGTACATAATTCAAATTGTCACAAACCAAATCTCACTGAGTTTTCCAAAAGCATACCTACCTTCACGCAGGTTGTTAATGGATAAATGGTATGCGCATTATTGAGAATAGCATTCGCCAAGGCATAACAGGTCAGTCCAATGGCCCACGATGTCTGACCTTTCAATTTGATCACTTGGTACGCACTAGTAAAAAGAACGAATGCCAGATGCAGTTAGTCAATTTCAAAGAAGACAGTTCATTAAGTAAACAAGATTAATTATTCCTAAGATCGACTGTGGACGATGTGGTTCCTAATTTAACGAATCTGTCAATTACCAGAAATTGATGGGTGCTGCAAATATATCAAACCATGGTTTACAAAAATAACAAATGAGGAAAGCGGTTAGAATTTGCAGAACGCATATTGGTAACGTTAGTTTTGACACTGATTTGGGTATCAGATTGTTGTCAATGCTGAGAATAGTTTTGCCGCTTCTTGCGGTCCATATTCGACGAAACAAGTTTAACCACCACACCGCAGCATCATATAAAGGTAAATAAGGTCACATAGAACGAAGCATTTAATTTGCAAAAATGAATTAGTGGTTCCCAAACTCGTGTCTATAGGCGCCTGCTCGTGCGGCCGATATAAATGTACATTGCGCCACAGGAACACGTAAACAGGTACGCACAAAATGAGACTGCAGAAGCATGAATCCTGTCTTTGAGTTGCGAACACAAGATCGATCTTGAATACGACACGTAATTTTTCGCGTGAAAAGTATTCTCCAATGCAGTCCTTAGTTTGAGGTTAGCCAACTCCGCGATTGTATCCCCTTTGGAT